GTCTTTTTCAAACTTAAGTTTTGGAATGCCAATTACTAAGTCTTGTGAAACCAATTTGTTCAAAAGGTTCATGTTCATATGAGCTACCCTTCGGTGCCATAACCAAGTGTCTTCCTCTTTACTCATGAGGCACTTAGCAAAGCCGGAAGGAGATTTGTCTAAGTTAACCATATATATGTTATCGATTCTATCACCACGTAGAATGACCTTATTATCGCTAAGGCGTTCTACCGTGCATGATTTTGAGTCGAAGGTCACACGGTTTCCCTTGTCACATAATTGACTTATGCTCAAGAGATTGTGTTTAAGACCTTTAACAAGCAAGACATTATCTATAGAGGAGTTTTCAGATTTACCTACTGAACCAACGCCGATAATTTTTCCCTTGGTATTGTCTCCAAAAACTACGTTTCCTCCTTTAGCGGGTTTGATTTGGAGAAACTTGGATGCATCCCCGGTCATGTGCTTGGAGCATCCGCTATCAAGGTACCAAAGTACACTCGATGCCTTCAAGCACTCCTATAAAACACATCAATGAGTTTTAGGTACCCAATTTACGTTGGGTCCTCGGATGTTAGGTGTGTGATGGTAGTGTGCTTGATTTTGTGACAGGTGCCTATGCCTAGTGTAACAATCGGGAGCAATATGGCCTATCCTATTACAGTAATGACACACTACATTGGGGTTGTACATGTGCCTAGGTTCATAATAATTAGAAGGTTTAACCATTTTGTTCCTATTTTGTGAAAATGATGGTTTTTGGAAATTTTGAAACTGGCCTCTTCTAGGTGTTCTAGCATCATTTCTTCTTATTTGAGAAAATTCATTTTTATGCACAAAATCATTTTTCTTAGGTTGTCTACCATGACCGTTTTCATTCCTAGGTTTTAGTCTAGGTTGTCGAATGTCCTTAGGTTGACTAGATTTTCTATTATCTTGTTTTTTAGGTTTCTTATGTTGAACCTTAGATGATTGTCTAGGTGGTGGCTCAACATTATCTTTAGCTTTATTTTTATCAAAACCTATTCCTTCCTTAAAGAAATGCATAGTGTCAAGAAGTAAATTTAAGTCTTTATGAGGAGTATTAAATTTCTTGACCGTGCTCTCAAGTTTAGCGACTTGCTCTTTTAAAGCTTTGCAAGACCCACATTCACTTGATGAGCTTTCTGGTTTGTCAGCGCTTCTTTTTCCAAAAAATTTGTTTTCTTGTTTAAGTGTTTCATTTTCTTTGTCTAATTTTTCAAAATCGTTTTCAAGTAAAGAAAGTCGTTTCTTCAAAGATTTATTTGTTTTAGACGCGCTAACAAATTCCTCATAGAGTTCATGAAGTGCTTCTTGCATTTCTTCAAAACTATACGAGTCGGAAGAAATGTTACATACCTCTTGGACGTCGTCGCTTTGATCTTCGTGTGCCATGAGGCAGAGATTTGCAGCTTCGTCCTCCTCTTGGTCGGTTGATTCGTCGCCGAAATCGCCACCCCAAGAGATGTAGGCCCTTTGCTTCTTGAAGCCAGGCTTGTCCTTGCCGTGTTTGGCCTTTGGACACCTTGGCTTGATGTAGCCAATCTCGCCACAGCCGTAGCATTTGGGAGGACCGTCGTGCTTCCTTCCCTTTCGCTCAAATTCCTTCTTCATGAACTTGTGGAATATTTTGATGACGAGCCCGAATTCATTGTCGTCATCGCTTGAAGCCTCTTCCACCGGTTCCTTGGTGGCTTTCAGCGCTATTCCCTTCTTCTTTTGTTCATCCAAAGACGGGGTTAGAATAGTAGATTCATAGGTTTTAAGGTTACCTCTTAGCCCGTCGAAGGTGACGTTGGAGACTCCGATGGATTCGTAGATTGCATCGGCTTTTGACCTCCATTCGGGTGTGAGGCTCCGCAGGATTTTCCTCACAAGATCCTTGTTGGTGTAAGTCTTTTTGAGGGCAATAAGATCATTGATTATCTTTGAGAACCGGTCGAACATGTCATCAATTTTCTCACCTTCTTTCATCCGGAACATTTCGTACTCTTGGGTGAGAAAATCGATCTTGGCTTCGCGAACTTGATCGGTACCTTCGTACGTCACTTCGAGCTTGTCCCACATCTCCTTGGCGGTTGTGCAACAGGAGATCTTTCGGTAGTCATCGGGGTTGACCGCGCAATATAGCATATTGATGGCCTTTGCATAGTTTTCGATCTTCTTGATGTCCTCGGCATCAAATTCGTCTTCAGTCTTTGGGACCGTGGTTTCTCCCACTTTCTTCATAGGGATTTCTTCGCCATTTTTGATCACCAACCACAATTGGAAGTTGGTGGAACGAATATAGATTCTCATCCGTTCCTTCCAATAGGAGTAGTTGGTGCCATCAAAGAGTGGTGGCCTAGACGTTGATTGTCCTTCTCCAATTCCTGCATAGAGATTTCTAGAAGAAGAGCCCATGATCGCTTTACTCTCAAACGGTTAAGTTTGGACGCGAGTTAGGCTCCGATACCAATTGTTAGAATAATAGACCAACGCTAGAGGGGGGGGGGGGTGNTGTTGGAACACGGGTTTACGCCTTCGTCGCACTAAACTGTGTTCGTTTATGACAGGTTTTGATAATGCCAAACCGCCGCGACATATCGAAGCTAAAGTGAGCAAAACTAAGGCGAAGGAACATGGCATGATGACTTAAGAACCAAGAACCCAGAATCAAGAACGAAGAACTAGAATTGTATTGAGTCGGTCTTAATGTGATCAAGACCGGCACAAAATTCCAAATCTTGGCTCTCTAGGCTTAATTCAGAAAAAGCTCTTTTACATATTCAAAAATAATTTTCTTAAAGTTTAAACTTGGGTCAAAACACTTGGAGTTCGCCCAAGCCAAAAACCAAGCCATTCGGCGTTCGGCTTTCAAAAACCGGCGTTCGGCTCTCGGTTTTCGGCATCGGTTTTTGGCGTCCGAACCAACCAAGTGGTTTTTAACTTTTTATAACTGGTTTTTACTTCTGGGTATATTTAAATAGTTCTCCAACAAAAACGCTTCAAAAACCACCTTCCGTTTTTGATCGTTTAGTGAAAACCATGCGAAACGGCACGAACTTGGCTAGCCGTGGTTTTCAACTAAATGACGTGGTTTTTAAGATGTTTTACTTGATTTCTTAGCAAATTGCAATAAACAAATGTTTTCTAAACTTGGTTTTTATTTTGGAGAACTTGCGTTTTTGACATCGGCTAACGGCGTGACTAAACCAACCATGGTCTGGCTAAACCAAGCCCAACAGCGATGTTGGGGTAATCAACAGCGCTGTCTGGCCTGGGTAACCAAAAACATGGTTTGGCGTTAAGTCTTCCAACAGCGATGTTGGACTTTAGACATCGCTGTTGAGCCAAGGTTGGATTTCCAGAGACTTCTGGAACAGCGATGTAGGCTCCCCTACAGCGCTGTCCAACCTAAGCCTAAAATACAGTGCATTGGCAGAAAGTTTTTGGACAGCGATGTTGACCCAGCAACAGCGCTGTCAGGCCAAACGTCCATCTTCAAGAGTCAGACCTAAACAGCGATGTTCAAGCTATAGACATCGATGTAGGGACCTGACCGTTGGAAGGAATTTAAGGCTAAAACTTTCCTTGTTTGGAAGTCAACAGCCAAAACAGCGATGTAGGGTTTTTTGGACATCGCTGTTGGCATGACCGTTGCTTCCCAATTTTTAAAAAACCAAGCCTAGAACAGCGATGTCCAGGCCTAGGACAGCGCTGTCTAGGTGATTTTCAGCAGATCCAATTTTAATCAAATCCCACAAATTGTGCCAATCACCCCTTAAATGTTTTGGT